TTATTATTTCAATTTATCAACTTATTATTTGATCACTGGAATTATAGAGTATCGCTTTTATATAAGTTAAAGCAGACCAGTATGTAATCATTTAATAAATCATTTATTTATTGACTATATTTATTTTAACAGCATATAAATTGTTTAGTATTTAATGCTTGAGCAAGTTAAAAAAAATTAAAAACAGTCAAGTTCTTTAGTATATACTAATTACTGAATTAATCGTTTATTTCAAGATTTGAATATCTCGAATATTTCAAAAATTAATTATATATTTTGAGATAAACAAAAGAAATTCAAGTCGCGTAAAATACGCGTGAAAACTTTTAAAAATTTTTTAATTTAGACCAAAAAAAATTTACAATAATCCTAATTTTAATAATTTTAACAATTTATAAGAAAATAATAAACAAAAAAAAAATAAAGTAAAAATAAAATAAAGATAAAAATAAATAATAAAATAATAAATAAATAAAAATACAAGAAATAAAATTAAAATTTGAAAATATAAATTTCAATTTAAACTGCACTCAATGGAATTGCTTTCGATTCTTCGATATTAGATGTAGATGGAGTGGTGGTGGTGGAATCAACAATTTCCAAAGAATTATCACGATTCGATTTGTCAAAATCACATTGAACATGTATGATATCATTATTGGGTTGTCTCATAAATTCAGCTCCACTAATATGTTTCTTGCATGAAGCGCAAACTACATTCTGCGTTATAATAATAGGTCCAATATCTTGATAGGCTTGAGATAATTCATATTTTATCTAATTAATGAAAACAAATAAATAATAATCAGGATAAAATTGAAAATCGAAAAACGAGTATAACAACTATGTTTAATATGACTTACCATTAAGTTTTCACCTCGACATAATCCTTTAAGAATTTGTCCTTCTCTATAATTATGATAACTTTGTCTAAGTGAACGAACTAAGAAATTATTTAACATTTCTATAGACCAATATTCTGGTAATAGAGATAAAACCTATTTTTGTTATATACAAAAATTTAATATATTATATATATTATTATTATAAATATTATCACAAATATAATATAATCTATTATAAATATTAGAAAATTACCTCCATTATGTCCAAATACACTGCTTGGGTATTTAATAAATGAATTATAATATCTACCATTTCATCCCTGATCATTAAAATAAAAATGAAAATAAATAAAAGATAAAATAAATGGAATTTAGCGCATATATATATACTGTATATGTTATAATATCTGTTTACCTATTATCCATTTCAAGATAAACTTTTAGTAAGGTTAAAAATAAGGTTCGTCTTTTTGTTATAAGACTTTTTTCATCTATCTTTTTGGAAGCTCGTTTCTTCGGTGCTCCTTTTCGGATACCAATTACGCGACCAGCCTGTAAACAAAATATTTCAGCTCCTCGATAATCTTTTAGATCATTTATTAAAACTTTTAATGCGATTTCATGTTGTTCTAACTTCATATTAAAATTTATGAAGATCAATTAAATTAAATTAAAATTAAAATTAAAAAAAAAAAATAAAAATAAATAAAAATAAATCTAATATTCAATAAATATTTAATAAATTGTTGAAATAAAATTTACCTTTCCATAGACGACGGCCAATTCCGCTTTTAATATTT